TTATTCTGCCCGGCAGGCTGTGCAACGGCCGAGCTACGGACTAATGCTCCCCGGTGACAATGAAAATTTGTCGCCAGCGCATTTGACGCGAAAACTGGCTTTTCAAAGCGTCTACGAGAGACCCCGCCGACGCTCGTCGAAACCAGAACGACCGAGACGGCCGAAATTTTCTGCTTTGTCGCGTGCGTTTGCCGGCAGAATGATTTCTGGGGATCGTGAGACGCGATGGAAAGGTGTGAGGTGCCCTTTCAGGCTAATTCGGGCCAATTTCGCGGTACGATAGAAACTAGGCGAACCTTGTCGTTCTCGATTTCAGGTGAACGGCTGGAAGAATTGCATCCCGTGATCTATACACGCATGACATTTTTATTCTTCTAGTTTTACTAGAGATTAATAACAGAATTATTATTGGAAAGATGCCAATAAACAAGCCCACATAATTACCTCGAAACGCTGTGGGACCTAGTCAGAGGAGAACGTAGGGTAGAAATACGTTGGAATAATATTTGAGGAGAATGGTCCGTCGGTCATACGCGGGGATTAAGAGCGTGCAAGCAGAGGGAAGCGAAGCTCAATGTTTTTCCAGGACAGATAAGCTCCGGGTCCAGCGTTGCGCGCCCCGACGTTTGACAATCCGATCGGCAAACTTCTTTTGTTACTCGCCACGCTCTTTATCCTTGTCGAGCTCCGTTCACACCTCGAGATACCACTGTAAACTTTGAGCGACGTGCACGCTTAAAACTGTTTGGAGAATTAAGCTTTCGATGCGTCCCATTTTTCAACGCCGATACTATGAACGGAGGGAATGGAAATCGAAATTTTCAAGTAATTTAATCGAACTATAACTTTGTTCCTATTGCGGATAGAAAAAGAATCTTAGAAGAAGCTTTTGTACCTGGTCAAAGGACGAAGAACCTAAAAAAGGAATCTAAGATCAGAATTAACGTAACCAGCGGACACGTAACTATTATTCACCGCGGTTTCCAACTATCATCCGCGTATCGTCTCGTCGAACAAAAAGCCGGCTTTTCACGAAACTCGACGACAGAGCAAGGTGGATAAGATCTAAGGCCGGCCGTGTTCCGATTCGAATTCTCCTCTCACCTTACGGGGATGAAACGTCGTCGGTCGTGTTCGACCCGGACGAAGACGCAATCTGACGGAAAATCGAGACTCGCGTAATCCTTCGAGTCGGGGATTATGGTCGATAAACAATGCACACGGGGCAACGCGACCGCGGGAATACACGAACGAATCGTGCCCGAGATGTGAAGAGGCGATAGTCGGTTCGTAGGGAAAAGAAGGTCGGCCGAGGGCCGCCATGAAGGAGAGGAATGTTGGAAGAAACGGTCACGGATTACGGATCCTACGAAAACACCTCGCACCTATGGCGCGGAGAAAAATCTCCGTTGGGATTTCGTTCCAGGGGCTGGACAGCTTCAGCGTCGGGACCACCTACGAGCAAACACGGACAATAATGCCCCGTTAGCGCGAAAATCTCGGAAAATGTGTTACTGGCGGTGTAATGCGACGAAAAATGGTTTGCTTATTGAGAATGCATCGAAGAGAAACTTTCAGAAAACTCCATTGGCTATTGAAAGTTGGAGCAATTGTCTGCAATATTTTCGCAGAACAGAAAAGATCTATGAAACGTCGTTGGTGAGAAGGTATAAGGTACTTCTGAATAAACATACTTCATACTAAGAACTGCGATATCGGGAAAAACGAGGATCCTCGACGTATCGAAAATGTATTGTCACCCTACTATTTCCGATAACCAAAGTCCTAATGTAATAGAGTGTTCAGACGGTAAATGGCGAACGAAGGGAATCCGGATAACAGAAACTGAACTGTATTAACGACCGTGTCGCCCGGAATACCGAATTCATGGCGCACGATGGGTGTGTCGAGTCATTTTTCGCGATCTTATCGAGACGACGCGACCCATAAACTTTTGACGTTTCCATTACGCGACACAATAACACCCCCGAGCCGACGAGAAGATCGATTCCGTCGTGTGCGAAACGTGTACCGAATTTTCTGTACGGACGGGAATACAAAAACGGGATTCCCTCGGGATTCTCCCCCCGATCCGTTGCGGTGTGAAAGCTTTAAATGAGTTTCTGGAATCACATGCGACGCGTGCTGGATATATTTACCACGGATGACGCGGCGTCGCTCCGTATCCACAGCAGTAATCGAGGATAAATATTTGATTCTAACGCCACGAAGAGGGTAAGGACAACCGGTCTGTGTCAATTCGATGAGATTAAATTTTGTGTTGATCTCACGTATCAATTGGCCTGGTGCTTTTTAATTTCAAGGGAAATATCGTTCAAGGAAATAATCGTCGGTGAGATAAAAGCTGGAATTCGAATGAAATTTTGGCCATCGTCGCCCTGGTCACCCTATTCGTCGAAACCGTTTTTCCAAGCGACCGAGACGGTGTCAAAGAAAGCGACCGGCATCCCATTAAAAGCAATTTCACGATCGGTCCTGGTAGCCGTTGGTGGAATGGTAAAATCATCGCGACCGGTCGCGCGTCGATCCGAGAGATCGCCTCGGTCCAGGTGTGAGAAAAACCCCGGGCACAATAAAATGTCACTCTCCATTGAAGGAACGTTCCCGTCGCTCGGGAGCGCCACCCCTAAACGCTACCTAGATGAATGGCCCTCCTCTATTCGTGGGCCTTTTTCTATTGCCATCGGGCACAAACGAGCGGAGCAACGTGGATCAGCGCGTTTCACAAGCGAGCCCGCGCTTCGAACCGACCGAGGGATGCAACTTGGCCCGTTTAACGTCACCGTATATTTCACCCCACAATCGGCCTGCGAGACAAATACCCTTATTTGTACACATCCTGTGCATTGTGACGTGTGTATCGCGCGCGCGGGCACCCAGGGACCGCGTACGACTTCCGGTGAATACGTTCCACCTCCTTTTCTTCTACCTTTTGCGTCTCCATCCCTCTTTCTGTTCTTTATCGGTCGAAACCCCCGTGTTCTCCGCCTCTTCCTTCGCGTTCCGCTCTCGCTGCTTTTATTTCTCGCCCGGTCGATGAAGGTGGTGGGTGGGGCGATATCGTGTACCTGCCGGATGAAAACCATATTGGATCGTGCTGCGAGACCTTTGATAATGCGTATCCCTCGGATCGCGATCATCCGACACCGATTCGCCTGGATCCTATTCCGTCTGGCCGCGCTTCCTCGATCTTCCGCCCTTCTTTCTCCGCGACTAGGGGGCGGACGCCAGGCTAATTGCGGCCAAATTTTCCCGGAACACCCAGAGGATTTTCGTCGAGAGGCCGGCCGATCTTTTTCTCGTTGTTGCGACGGCTGATTATCCACTTCCTTCCAGCCGGTCCTTCGAAGGTTCTCTCTCGAGGATTATCGATGGCCCGAAGCGTATTCTAATAGCAATCTTTACGGAAGAACCGGGGCTTCCTTGAACAACGTTTGCCTGTATAAAATTTCATACGCAACAACGAGTCGATTGCGGAAGTCCGTTCGCTTCCTTTGCTCACCAGAAATTAAACGTTTAACACGAAAAAACCCAATTTCGGGCCACAAAGAAGAGCGTGATCGAAGCTTTTTCGTGGCTAAATTGCATTCTAACGATTTCGTTCGGCGTATTAGGGAGTTCAAAAGGGAACACCGACGTCGTTTTGATGTTGCATCTTTAGGAGACCACGGGAAGGAGACGCGTCCATCGGAGCGTCACAAAGCGACGCGATTTCACGATCGAACGGAGACGAAATTTAATTTGTCCCGCGAGCAGTCAATTTGGGAGCAATCTTCCTCCTCTTTTACGTTTTCTCCCCTCGCGCTTGGAAAGGTGGTTACACTGTAGTAAGATGGCGTTCTGGACCATATGCCGGGGACCATACGGCACGTGGATAATTATAGTGAAACACTACGCGGTTGTAATGCGAGGGTGGTTCTCTACCGAGATAATATTCGCGACGACAGATTGTACGCAGAGCATACCAAGGAAATTACGACCAACGTTAAACGCTAGGTTTGCACTGGAGGGCCGACGCTATCGATTTTGGAACATTATTACAGAAAAATTAGATGCTTCCACCGAATTTCCCCCTCTTTTCTACTTTTCTTTATCGATTAAGAACCTTCGGACATTCTTGAAGATGTGTCTTCAGGTTCAATTCCATAAATTATTCATTTTATCTGTGTAGTATCCTATTGCAAGTCCATATAATTTCTAACTATGACGAAAATTGCATATAATCAATAAAGTTACACACAATACGGAAATGTGCACAGAAAGAAATTAATTGAACAGAACAAGGTGATAAAATGGCGTATGAAAATTTTATGAATACCTTAAATTACAATTTCCCTGATCCGCCCGATCCAGCATCCGATGATTCACAGGCGACAGTGTATTTGACTGGCTCTATCGGGCACTACATCAATTTTGCGACTAATCCCACCACGAATTGCTCGACGATAAAAGTAAATCCCACAAAAAGGGCCAAATCGGTTCGCCCGAGCAATCGTTTCGATGAAACGAAAAATCCCCCAACTCTTTCCGCAGTCTGGCCTACTTCTCCGTCAGAGAAATAATTCGGGCAGAAGGACGGTGATGCAGCGTGGTCGACCATATGCCGAGGGACGGTTCCAGCCCACGGATAATTACAAGGGATGCTATATACGCTGCCTTTAGGGGGTATGGGCGAGCTGAAATTCAATGGTGGGGGCGCGTGGCTACATAAGGAAGGTACCCACCTCCGAAGGGTCGCAGTCGGCTCGAAATTTCGGAGGTAACCGAACCTACATCTCTGCTCGTCGCCCTCCACGCGCACGTTTCGCCCGCAAACGCGTGATTCTAACCGGGAACGCGTATTTTTCCATGCTTCTAACGTTTACACAGACTCGAGTGTTCCGTCATACGATACACGATAAACTCTGAACAAGTGTGATCAAGTGTGTGTTCGATTACGCTTACTCGTCCGAGAAAGAAAAGTGTGATTCCGTTCGACGATGGAAATTTCGTGGTTGCTGATTTTCGGCTGGTGTCTCGCATCGGTCACGAGTTTCGATCTTGGACCGATCATCAGGATCGCGCAGTGCAGATCGCAATGCCTCAAAAAGCATACCGCCGATGGGATTTGCGATTGGTACACAGGACACCAGCAAACCACTTGCAGCATGGTAATTACACCCTGCGTTTCACTGATATTCCTGCATGAGACATCGAAACATTTTTTTTAATAGAAATAAAAATAATATTGCACGAAACTGAATTGATTTGAGTAACCCGAACAAAGGAGTATCGTCTTGGATTGTCTAGAGGACTTCGTACTTTAATTAGAATTTCGGATGGTTGATCATTATCACCGACGAGTCTGACCTACTATCTCGTCCGCAGTAGAATTAACTACATGCGTCTTACTTTGTGAGTCCTCTAGTGGATCTATGATGGAACGCTATAATTTCTATTGTTGCAATCACCAACGTTCACGTGTCTTTGCTTGAAGCTCGACCAACCTGCACTATCTTTGGGACTATTTCTTATACTGATCCTCGAAAAATAATTCTTTTCCTGATATCAACGCTAACACTTTTCTCTCCCACAAAATCTTACGCGAATAATAGACAACGACTAAAATTACGGTACAGGAATTTATTGTAAAGAAATATGGCCTTTCGTACGAGAACCATATGCACGAGAGGGTTGACTAGCGACACATAAATAGTTCGGAATCCGTGTTTAGATAAAAATTTCGCTCGTTTCTGTCCTCGTAGCGCATCTTGCACGCGTGGCCACGAATTTCCCTCCGTCGTTTCCTCCCCCGCTCGGAACGAGAAACGGCTGCAACCCGTCACGAATTTTCGGAGCACCGCGTGCACTCGACACGACGTTTCTAACTATAACGTGACCCTCTTTTCCCGGTCACCCGGGGTCTCCGGTCCCTGAACCGTTCGACGCGTCCCGCGGGCCAATTGCGCCGAAAAATCAACAGTCCCGACTCGTCGTCTCCGTTTCAGCGTCCCGAGCGAACGACAAACGATCTCCATGGTTTCGAAAATACGCCGCGGAAAAATGTCGTCGACGGAATCGCGTAGGCGTCGAGGCTCGATCGTCTGGAAATCTGATAGGGCCGTTCCAGCGTCTCCGTCGACGATAAATCTCTTTTGTCGGTTTTATGGGGCGCCGTGGAAAATCATGGTGGTCCCCGCGCCCTCCCCAACGTGCCCCGACCACCCCTCCCGGACAGACGCAGATGGACAGATGGGAATCGCGATTAACTCACGCACAATGCGGCTTTGGCGTGTGTGCGTGCAAGCAGGGCGTTGCTCATTTGGTGTACAGGGGGTGTCCATTAATTTCGGGGAAATCGATGCCATCTTGACGTACACACCCACGGGGAACGCTAGTGCGCGTGAGTTAGGTTTGTTCCTCGCACGGTTTAAGAGCAAAATCCTCTAAGAGCAGGTTCCGTAGAAGCAATTGATCGTTAAATACGTGCAAAACATCTGACGAGTTCTCTAAACACGACTACCTTCTACTAGAAAAAACGACTGCCCTCTTAATTTCGTTCCTCTGAATTTAAAACTAAGGGCTTGCCAAATTTATGGCACTCCGCGATAAAAATGGCTGGACAGAGAATTTTGTCGGGAGGTCCTTCCACATCCATCTTACTCCTCGGCTCTAGACCCATCTAATTTCCATCTATTTCGATCGCTCCAGAATAATCTGAACCCGGGGCCCCCTTTAAGAATAACAGAAAACTACTTTCTAAACCGCGGAATAAAAACAGTACGCAAGAGTTGGCTGAACATCGAGAAGAAGTTTTAAACGATATTCTTACCCCCTTGTTAATGGAATTTTTGATAACTCTCGATTACAGACTGTGTATAAAAATACGATACTGAAAAGGTAGAGAGGAAGAATAGATGCGTGTGAATACACACGGCGCACACACGGCGAGGATTATTATCGAGGCTGAATCGAGAAGATCACGAGGGAAGGGACACGGTGATCCATTCAAATTTATGCACGGGAAAGAAGAGTCCTCGAGAACCGTTTCCCCAGGACACATTAGAATAACGATTCTCCGAGGAGGCGGACGCGCGGAGGTGGCTTAACGAAGGTCGTGCGAAGAACCCCCTCGGAGAGAACGTCGGAGTTACGCCTGGATAATGACGATTATTCCTCGATGGGGAATCCTCGCGCTCGATTTGAACCGCCCCTTTTCGTGAGCGTAATTGTTTCATTATACTTCGAACAATCGGCTATGAATAGGTCGGGAACGTGAGACGATCGACGCGGGGGAGATCTAAATTGAAGAGTCTATGAGAACTGCATGGGATTAGGAATCTTTTGCTACTTCAAAGCCACGTATTTTCTCGCGAGACTGTACGCGCGGTTCGTAAACGATAAATTTCGCCAAAATTATTAAGATGTACCCACGTAAATATAAATCAGTGCCTTTTTAGAGACACTAAAAAGTGTTACGATGGTCTTCCGTCCGCCCCGTGGCCAATTTACACGAATCGTTAACGCATTTTTCAAGAACTGCTTGATTTAAATTTTAATTTTCTATGCACTCGTTGGTACGATATTTTCGATATTAATCGCGAAATCACTGCAGAAGGGAACGTTCGTCGCGTATTATATCGTAATCGTTACGGATGATCGTGATCGGCGGCCCCCGAGACTCGATCGGTAGGCAACGGGTGGCGCAAATGTCGTCGACGTTGATCGCTCCATCAAATTTCATCGAGTGCGACGATGATCGTGCCGTTATCGAGTTACGATCGGCGGAGGGTCGTAAAGACGGCGTCCCCTCGTTCGGGAAATCAATGACCGAGCTGTCGTAAAGTGAAATAAACGGGATAAAGGAACACGCAGAGGCCCGTACTCCAGGCCGACATCGCCCTGCAGCTGTTAATTGTCAGACTACGGAGTATCCAAAGAAACGAAACGCGAATAAAACTTAATGGCTTTTATCTTATCCTAGCGATTCGAGCATTGGTCGTTGGAGAATCTAACGCGACGTTCCGTCTCATTATACGATCTCGTTAGACGATCTTCGATAAGGTTCACAAAAGATTTTAAATATCCGCCGAGAATAAAAGTCTAACGATTCGAGTCTCGTCGGGAGACCGTTCAGAAATGTTTTACACAAAGTTACTTTTGACGTACAGAGAGCGCATCATGCTACTCTAGATTTTACACGAAAAAGAAGAGACGCTACCCCCTTTCTCTGGCCATTTGTACCAGCGCAGCGGGCGTAAAAACCGTCGGAAAAAGGGAACCCAGAGCCGGGGAATTATCGCGAAGCTGTTAGACGCTGATGTTGCTTTTTTCGAGGGCGTCATTAGCGCGGAAAGAGAGGGGACCCACGGCGTTTCTACGAAGCAGCCGGACTTAGAAGGAACACACCGCGATGAAGGATAATCGGGAACGGAGGGAAAGAAGGGGTCTCTCTCTCTCGGAGAGAAGAGAAGAAAAAAGAATCTAGAAACAGGGCTCCACGAGGGACGGTACCCCAATAAATATGAAGACAACAACGACGGTGCCTGTTATGCCTGAAACAGGTTGGAGCTAATTCGGCCCCTCCGACCACCCCAATCTTCTCTTTTCTCGCTCTTTCACCGTTGTCGGTTCCTCTTTTTTTCTCTTCTTTCTGCTCTTCGCCCTCTCGGTCCCTCGGTCCTCTCCCCTTCGCCCTACAGCCGCTTAAATCGCTCGATTCAACGGTCCAGGCCGATGGTTCTTATTCTCCCTTTCCTTCTTCGCGTTCCACGGTCCTCGGCCGCGGCGTCCCTCTTCATCCCCCGGCACCGCCGTGCACCATCGTCCTTTTTACTCGCGCGTCCCGTGCGTGCAAGGGCTTTTTGTTCAACGCTGAAACCCACCCCTCCACCTCCCTCGCTGCCACGCTCTCTCGGTTCTTTCATGTGTTTTTTTCTCCTTCTGTGTTACAGTGCTGGCAGTACTGCGAGGCCCTCGAGAACCGGTGGGAGAAGACGAGAACCATTTGCGAGGGCGACCAGTATCTACATGTAAGTAAATTTACGAACGAACCAGGCTTTCGGATTAGGGGAGCTCGTGGGAGGGGGGACTCCACGAACCTTGGGGCTTGTCACGGAAATGAGAACACGGGGAACGAGATTCGAATTTTTAAGAAAATCACGATAAGAGGAAGATCAACCCTTCGCTAATTTTGTCAGGCTCGAAACACGAATCTCGTGGTACTCGCGATATTTCTAAGAACGTGCACCTGCAATCCCCGTCTCGGGACTCGAACGTAACCGAATCCTCTCGGATGTCCCAGGGGCCCTTCTCGGTTCAGGTAAACCGAGTTAACCTTCCCCGTGTTCGATTCGCTGGCGTAAAGGGCCGACAGAAACTTCGAATCGATCAAGCGCGAGAAAAATCCCTTAACTTTGGACGTTTCAAAGCCGTAAGGGATGAAAACGAGAAGAGGTAATCGGTGAACACAGCCCTATGACACCGAGACCAGAAGAAAGGTCTCGCGTCGAAGGGAATTCCGACGAAGAGGCTCGGGGATAGAGAAAAATCCTCGGGAACGGCTACCTGTCGGTTTTCACGGAAGGTCGACTCGCTTTGCTCGTGGATCGTTCACGTTTAAACTCTCGATGTATCGACCCTATGTAGGCGATAGGAATCTTCTTCAAATATTTGGGGACCCGTCTGGGCTACCACGTTACGACGAATGTTCGGGTCGAAGCACGATGAAACGGTCTTTCCAGGTCTACTCGAGCGACGATTTTTGTTAGATAACGGAACGTCTCTTTTAGAGAGATCGTTAATTATCCTACGACTCTAATGTACCCTCGGAGAGCAGATATCGAGGAAAGATAACCCGCGACCAAGGTTTTCGGGCCAGGATGAAAGCGAAATCGCAATAATAAAAAGTCCACCGAATGATCTAATCGGAATTATTCAATTTGTATCGTTCGATATTTTATCAAGTCGACTACGAAGACTTTTTTCCGAAAATCGGTGTACTGATTTCTCTATTGTTTTCAGTGTCCAGCGTGCCAAACAGCCTGCACTTTCCGGAAAACGAGGGTGGAGGAAAAGTACCTCCCGTCGATGTTGCCAGCACCAAAGAAGGCGCCCATCAACTTGGACAAATTCGACGTGTCGGTAGTGATGCGCAAACTGTACAAGCAATGGCGAGTGAACGGATACTATCCTGGTGAACGGACACCGAGCCTTAAGCCGGACACCTGGATAATCGTCGCGATGGAGGACGGGGTCAAGCACTACAGTTGGCAAGAGTGGGTTCCGACGCTGGAGTCCTTGAAGGAAGGTCCTCTGTACGAGGCGACCATCTCCTGGAAAGACGTCCAGACTCAGTTACAGAAACAGAGAGCTTTGCAGCAGGTTCGGTTCAACAATCGGGTTAGACAGTTTTTCCTGGAAAAATACGGAGAAAAAGTACTAGCGGAATGGCGAAGCCAGGAGGACTCTCAGATCTCCGACGAGATATTCCGAAGGTTCTTCTTCAGAAGGAAGGACGACCGCGCCGACGAGTCGTTGGAAGCCGACAACACACCCTCCACCAGCAGCGCCTACAACGACAGGATGGACAAGGACCAATCGGGTAACAAGGAGTCGTACGTGGTGTCCTGGGAGCCCGAGACAGGGGGCCTTATGGGAAACCAAGTGGCGGACTCGAATACTGCGCAGATTTCTCTGACCCCTGGCACCAAATACCTTGTCAGGATCGCCTCGAACGACGGGCCAGGCAGCTTTCCCATCGAAGTGGACACGAGGTCCAATTCCGTTCAGGCTGAAAGGATAGAGTCGACGTTTCAGGACCTCTACCCTTGGGACATCGTCGCTGCCTACGTGTCCGCGGCGATCTTAGTGGTCGTCGTCAGTATGATCAAAGTGTGCAAAAAGAGCAAGAGCTTCGAGGTGGAGGAAGTTTGAGAGACAGAGGAACATGAACGAAGCATCGTCGAGGACGATGGCAAACTCAGGGATACGTTTTGCTCTACAGCGAATCTGGCGGACTAAAGAAACGAGGGGAGAGGATTATTGTCGCTGGACCGCTGCCAGCAGCGTACAAACAGTCGAATCTGTCATTTCAAGGAGGACACAAGCGGTTCTTTGAATTGATTCGACTCCATCAAAGTGTAAATGTCATTCTTCGCGTAGGTATAAGGCGGATCGAACGATCCGCGAAAACGGATATTGATGTGCGTACGATGCAAAGTAGTTTTTAAAGGTCGCAGGCGTCGTTTCGCCTGCGATCCCGTAAGTTAATTATAGAAAAAGTATAAACGGCACCTTTCCGAACCAAGAAAGCGGAGACGGGAGCAACGCCCAATCCAACAAACGTACAAAATACTTCGCAGGAGATTATACTACATACAGGGTGTTCGGCCACCCCTGTGAACAATTTTAATGGGAGATTTTAGAGGTCAAAGTAAGACGAAAATCAAGAATATCAATTTGTTGATTGAGCCTTAGTTAAAAATTATTTTCAGTTGCGGGGGTCAGTTACAATCATTTTTGGTGAATACACATACCCCCGAAATCCTACGTACTTTCGAGAAAAAAATTCTTTACCGAAAATATACTGTGTGGTCGGAAATGTTTCTATAACTTTTTAACGAAGCCTCAATCAAGAAATTGTTATTCTTGATTTTCGTTCTATTTTGACCTCTAGAATCGTCCATTATAATTTTTTCCAAGGGTGCCCGGACACACTGTATAAGCTTGTCGCTCTCGGATGCAGGAAATGTATAAAATCTTCGACGATATTTTTGTACGTAGTAAGAGTACTAAATAACTTCTTGCTCAACGCGCAACGAACAGACTGTAAAAGAGTTCCTATCGTCGAGACAGAAAAATGACGCCGATCGCGGCGCCAAACCTCTGTATTTATTTGTAAATAATAGCTCCGAAGCTTGTACATAGTCCATAAAATAGAAATAAATTACTTCTAAAAAAACATCCATCTCGATATTATTCTTCATGTAGCATTTTGTTCGTCCCTGACCATGGACAAGCGGTTACTCTTTGACGTCCGCGTATTTTCATATTTTTCCTGTTGGCTGATCTCGATACTTTAGCGTTATTCGGTTACATTCATAAATTGTGCAGTTTAAGCTCCTTACTTTTAATCCCGCGAGTCCCCGAGAATTTCAAATCCCCCCTTTGTCGATGATCCACGTCCTTGTCTACGAATAAAATTGAATGACGAGGGTTCGGGAGATTTTTCGTCGAATTTCGAAAGGGTCTGTCGACTGTCTTCCTATATCGAATGGATTTACACCAGATTATGGGAGGATTCGATGTTTCGGCCGACGGACAAAGAGGAGGGAGTTTCTTCGAAGACATATGAAAAAGATTCCCGTTATACAGGAAGCACAGGACACAAATTTCTTCGAGACTCTGACTGGTCGATATTAACAATCGAGGAATCCATAGGAGAAACGACCGTAGATTCCGTTCCAAATCTAAATTGAGATCTAATTGCAGGAAACAGCTCTAATTCGAAAGTTTTAATACGCGTATTCTTTTTTAACGCTTATTATAACGATAAAGGCTTTTTATATTTTTTTTTAATAAAGTTAGTTAATAACTGTCGTTAGATAAGTTCGTACCGTAATCGCGATAGGCGTTTACTCGTCAAGACTCCTCTTTTTTCATACAGGTTCGAATCCCGGCGTGCCGTGTAATTTTCATCGCCCAATAATTCTTTTTATCCAGGGTTTACCGTACGCGCGAGGCCTACTTCTGGTGGCGGATCGAGGATACAAAAAACAATCATGAAAGTTCATATAAATATGCGTACTATTTGACCTTGTTTCCGAGTTATAGCCATTTTTGTGCTCGAGTAATGAGCAGTTTACCTTCGCAGGAAGTGCTCGAAACGAGCACCTTCGGCTTAAATACATGCCTGCGACCGACCTGTCGCAGACTTTCTCGATTTTTTAAACCGACTAGGCACTTGGCAACCTTCTCCCATATTTTACGGGACTATTATACTTCGACGCTAGAAACGGACGTCGAACAAACAAACGCTGGCCCCGAAAACGTTAAAAATTTAGCGCTCTTTGGCAAGGGTTAAACGCGAGCCAACGTTCGATTGCTAAAAAAAAAAAAGAAATGGACGTTCGAAGAACGGTTACTCGTCGCGCTGAAACGGTAAGAACGAGCAGCCGACCGGCCTCGTGGACTTTACCCAAATTCCATCGCGGAAGAAGTAGCATACGCGTGCTCCCGAGAAAGTTCCAGGATCGTCCATTTCCTTTCCATGGTCGCGGCGAACGCGACGTCGCCACGGAGGGGAATGCCTCCTCTCGCGTAGTCCAGGAGGTGCATTGAACTTTCCCGAGCGAATAATAAACTCGTCGCGAGCGAAGAAAAAGAAGCCAACGGGGAGCTCCGTCGACTGTACCCAGGCGCATGCACACGAGTTTCACACGCGCGCCACCAACACGACCGCGATGAAAAAGTGTGCCGTGACCTCGAACAAGGTCCCGTTATCCAAGGCTTCGCCTTGGACGCGGTCGTCCTCAGTCTTGACTCGGTAGTCAAGCAAAGATGATACTACTGGTCGCCTGTCTCAGCCTCCTAATTGGTCCCGGTGAACTGGGCAACCTGAACAATGGCCTATCCGTCGGTGTGACAGCAGTTCTCGGCATCGGTTCGTTGCCTTTTGGATTCGCGACAGGACCCAGGTATCGCCAATTACTTTTCTACTTCATCGTTTACGTGATTCGATTGCCAAAGTCCCTCCGACGCTCGCAGATCGACCCTCCGCAAGTAGCCTTTTAACCTTTGATCATTTTTCCAATTTGCAACGCGTCCTCTTGACACCGTAATTTCGTTACTTTAGCAAATCGGTTTAATTTTACCTAGCGCTGAATTGTTGGGCACTTAACGTGCCTTGGCTCGAATCGAGCCACGCAATTATGGAAAATTACACGTAATATATCATCGTCGATTGTATTACCAATCTATTCCGCGACATGATCGATACGCGATCGCCTTAATCGTTGACTTTCCTGAACGGTATTTGCTTCGTTCGCTCTATATTACAATGAACGAAGCTCTTATGCAATAATCGAGGGTCTACTGCACATTTAACGCGTTCACTGTTCGATCCAGAATCTGAGTGAAAAGTCCTCGATGTTCGAAAGCGATCGTGTTATTACTAAATCAAGAAATATCTCATTTATCGTGGAGTCCTCGCGGGATCAAAGTGAATTGCACGTATAATTATTGCTAATTGATAGAAACTAGGTCTATTTCCCTTGATTGAGCTCGGTCATTTAAACGCGGTGTTTCGCTTTGCCGTGTTGCGATATTCGATAAGTAATTAACGCGCACTGTTCTCAGGTACGTTCCAAAATGGAAAAAACAGGCGTGCGAAATACCAGCCGCGCAGCATCCAAACTCGCACTACGTTTGCGACGAAGCCGGCGAAGTAAAGTGCCTGCCAGGTAAAAGAAAAATGAACGACCGGTAGAATTCATCCTCGGGGCTTGCCGTAGAAAAGCACAATAAGAACCTAACGATACGGACATTCCTCGTCATGCGCGTTCGTATATATTTTTTTCTTTTTGTTCTCCGTTCGGTCAGGATGGACCGGCGATTTGTGCGACGTGCCAATCTGTCGGAAGGGGTGCGACCCTCTTCAGGGTTACTGCCGTCGACCCGGTGAATGTCGCTGCAAATTGGGCTTCTATGGCGAGCTCTGCGACAAGTGTGTAGCTTTGCCTGGATGTCAGCACGGCAGGTAAGTTGTCATTTCGTTTTCTTACGCGTCCGGACAGACGAAAACGAACCGCAAAAAGATATCACAAACGAAATCTCGCCGATTGATCGACGAGGTAATCAACCGTATTGGCCGGCCGCTGACCTAGCAGGACCCTCGAAATAAATCTCGACGAATCGAAACCACGGTCCACTTCCGATCGGGTTTCAATTTCACCCGTGGAATATAATATTCCAACGGCGACGTGAAGCTTTCAACGATACGTGTCACGGTTTGCCAATGATCGCTGACTCGATGCTTCCGTGCTAATGCCCGGCGTACACTTGACAATTTCATTCTTCGGACATCGTGTCGAGAATAATTCTGTTCTGTTAAATTTCTTTTGCACTTCGATTGCGTCTTGTAACGTTAATGTGCCTGGGCATTTAAGGTTAAACCGATCTAACCGAGGAAAACGCGTACAAGGGCCGTGAATCGGACACCGATTTCACCTTGGCCAGCGGCGAGCCTAATTTCCGCGTAACGCGAAACGTTTCGTTTCCTTCTGTCTCGATTAGAAGGTGTAATTCTATCCCGCGGCGAGCACCGAACGGATTTTCACTTTCAGCTGTAACGTGAGCTTCGAGTGTTCCTGCGATCCTGGATGGAAAGGCATGTTCTGCTCGGAACCGATCTGCGCGGCCGATTGTCTGTCCAGCCAGGGATATTGCGAGAAACCCGGCGAGTGCAGGTAAAGAGTAATGGCGATGTAATGAGCGGTTATCGGTCCCGGTAGCGGCGAATCGAAGCAATGAGAACCGCCCTTCGGTTCGATCATCCATTAACGTCCGCAGCTGGTAATTTCGACCAGCCTTTAAACCGCGAATTTTCCACCGTGTCGGGGCAAACACGATATCTTCGATCCGACCAAATTAGTAGCCTAAACGTTCGATTGGTTTTTCTCAGGTGTCGATTAGGTTGGCAGGGTTCAAAGTGCAAACAGTGCGCCGTTTTGCCGGGTTGCGTGCACGGAACGTGCCAAGGACCTCTCGAATGTCGTTGCGAACCTGGCTGGACCGGACTCCTTTGCCAGACGCGTAAGTAGCCCCCCTTGCAGCACGAAATTAACATGTTTATTGGCCTTAACGAGCAAACGATCAACGTTCTCGACCCTTTAGGTCTGATCCCTCTTGAAATTTCATCAACGAATAAAATTAATCAATCCTCAAATTTGTGCAGATTGAAAACGTTTATTCTATGCTCGTTAAAATTCATAAATCAATGTTGCACACTACGCGGACAGAGGCCATTTGGAATAGCAAATAAGAGTTTGCTTTAACTTGATTAATTAGTGCAATCTCTCCGCGATCAAACGATTCAATTAACCGGTTCTGCAACGACCGACTTCGGTTGTTTCGTCTCTGCGTAGCAATTTGCTCGCAAGGATGTAGTAGAGAACATGGCACCTGTCGGCGTCCAGAAACGTGCAGATGTCGAGTAGGATGGACAGGACCTAACTGCACCGAATGCGTACCTTATCCTGGATGCGTACACGGGTCCTGCAAACGACCATGGGACTGTCGTTGCGAGCCTGGATGGGCAGGTGACCTATGCAACGAGAAACTAACGTATTGCGACGAGCATCCAGATACCTGTCGCAACAACGCAACATGTATCAGCATGACCAAAGAAGACGGCAATTACAGGTAAAATTACAGGATCTATTACTCCGTGATCGTGAAAAATGGATGAATTAACGTTCATTTTTTTGTAAGATGTACACAATTTGCAAGCTCGAAATTTCACGGTATGCTCGTTGGATAAACGAAAAGGAAAATACAACAAGGATCTATAGGTTCGTTAAACTGTGATTGCAGGTGCATCTGTCCTCTCGGTTACATGGGTCGCCAGTGTCAAATTAAAACGATGGTTCCGTCGACGGAATTAATACCACCGACTCTCGATTCGACCGATTCAGAAACGAAACCGCAAACGATTTCGACGAAACCAGAAGTAAGCGAGGGCCCTCAAACTCTGGACGACAAAGAAAAAGACACGATGAAAATAGAAACGCAAACGGCGGAACCGTTAGGGCCAATTGTTATCACGGATCCACCGTCCACTATCGATCCCGCCGCGACCGTAGGAAAATGGCCAACCGAATCTCCTACGGAGCCACCGATCATGGAAATGGACGACGACAACGAAACATGAAACATAAAAGTTGACGGAGCCTATTCCTCGACTGTTATTTATTTCATCTATTTATTTATTTATTCTAATTGTAATCGATACTTACTCAGTACTGCTTAGAAATTGTTTGCTAGCCGCGAATCTAATCGACGATCTATTTTATCTTGTAAGAGTCCTTCATAGTCGTTCGATATCGTAAATAAATACAGTCGTAAACGTGTAATTCGAGTTTGAAACATAACTGAGACATAGAGGCGATAAAACTAATACGATACGACAAACTGCGTTAACAAGATTTATTTGACGTGTCGCGAGTTGGGACTTTACTGCTTTTTGAAGATTTTTCAATTTGGATGCGTTATCATTTCGGCTACGATACGTTTAATTAATGCATTTGGATTAAAATTTAGATTTAGAAATTTCGAAAGAACCGTGTGAAACCCGATACGTTTCAAATGCTTGATATTGCAAAATTTTCTGAGCCGAACAATGGCGAGTTTCGAGTAAAACCACGATCGCCGATCGCGTTTCAACGAGCTCGGGATTTTCTTGTACCTCGAAGCCAATTACTGCTTGCAATGGCTAGGCAAGACGCGAATGGTGCATACTTTTATAGTACCTTCGAAACCCATACTCCCTGGAATATAAACTCGTCTAAACATTCTCGTTACGCTCCAACGAGCGCCTATTCGATGTTTCACGACGCATATTGCACGCTAAACGTGTGTCGTTTTTCCATCGACGCACACACACACGTAACTAGAGCGACTGCCCACGTAATCGACCGTCTCTAAGTCTTGTTTCTTACGTAATGTGCTGCATTTTTACCCTTCGAAGCACGGTGGTGCCGGTGTACGTATTCGCGGGGGAAACCTCGTAACTTCTGTATTTCTTAATGTTCCCGAATCATTTTTTTTGTATATTGCTTATTCAAAGACAAGTATTACAGTACTAGTACGCTCGTTACATAATATCGTTCGCGTAGTATCATTTTTTACACGAAACAAAGCTTACAGCGCTGTCTCTGTCGCTGAGTTACGTTATTTACGTAATTATTATATTCTGTATAAAACAAGTACTATTACCGCTTAATATTGTTTATATAGCACCACTTTATAATAAAACGAAGGATACGATTTATATCGTTATATTTCACGCACCTATCTCGATCACCCTAAATTTCTAATAACAATAGAAAAAAGGGGAAAAAATTTCATCAGTCGCTTCGGGCATTGCAATTTGGATTACGACCTCGTTATAGCGGTTTGGCTCGTTTACATCCTACACGCGTACGTTCATGCGTACACAGATAATGAAGCTACATTCCCTCGACCGGTTTTCGCGACGAAACGCATTAAGGATCAATGTGTATGCGCATGCTGTCCGATCGTCGGTACACTTCCTTCTTCGAGAAAGATCAATCATTTTCATCGATACATAAGTAATCTTTGACCTGTATTACATTATATTTAAATTCCCATAACTAGGCCAATTCATACCATTTTTAAGAAAATTAGAGTCGACCTAACGTTGGAAGGTTCGGTTACGTTCCACGATCTACCCTTCCAGTATTTGTTCCATTCGAACCAAACTCATAAAATAGTCTTCCCTTCTATCTCGTTTGATGGAACGATAGGAGTAGGTACGGAAAAGGCGTAAATCGTCGAACGATGACGACGTAGGCCGACGTTCTCAGAAGGACGTTTATCAGAGCATGCTAAAAGACAGGCCGATCTCCGGACGTGCTTCATTAGCCACGATCAAAGAAGGATCGTACCTGCAATCTGACGATGCTGAGTCAGTCGTAAAATTAGTCGCCGCTAACGAAGGACAGTCGTCCGTAAAACTATTCGAAAATTTAAGTGACGTCGAATCGACCCTGCAATCAACCTTTCAACCACCCTTTTACACGGACGACTCCTAAAGGATTTTATCGTCCGGAGTTTGAATACGGGAACGCTCCAAGCAAAAAGTATTCAACGGGTTCCCACGCGTTGCGTTATACGAGCCATTTCGCGCCAAATCAATTACTTTCGTACACCGCGGTCAGAAACGTTGATATATGCATGTTAGAGTCCACGCGAAATTCGGAGGGGTTTCGGGTCGTCACTTTTCTATTTTCGCTATTCTTTAAAAATATACAACCCCTCAGAGTACTGCAGCTTTAGAGGAAGCGAAAAAATAAAAATTTCTAGGTATTCCTCGATTACGCCGATCGTAAACGCGAAACGGCCAACGGATGACGAAACGAATAAAATAGAAAGGAATATTAAAATATTCAAAGAGCGCGCAAAATTCCTTGCAACGCAAACTGGATATACATAGTTGCAAGTTAGAGAACTATTCGGTACTATCGGACGTAATCGAGCGACGAAAAGAGTCTGCTGAAATGTCTAAAACTATGCGAAGGCAAGGTAACAGCGGCTGGTACCCTGTAATTGGACTCGAAACGAGTATTAAAAAAATTTGTTTGACTCCCAGCTTCCTGCTTTCTAGATTAACACTTTCGCCATCGATTTTATCGCGTACGCGATACGAACGTAACTCGAGCACTGTTTTGCAATTTGACACGCGTTTAAACGTGTGCAACGCAACTCTATTAATTAAAAAATGATGTCAGTAACCGAGGATGACGATTATTTACCTGTAGCCTTTTAATAAATTTGAGAACCACTGCCCTGGACAACATCGCACGGATTAATAACGTGGATCGATGGGCTGCTTTTAGAGCGAAACGACCCAGATCCTGGTTTATAAAACACGCCGTGCGCGTTACACCAGAAAACGAGAAACGCGCCGCGAAACTCATAATGCGTGAACGCTTTGGGCCTTCCTTGCACCGTATATCAACGTTCGAATCTAAAGTTTACTATCGGCCCACTCGATCGAACATTCTGACCGTGCAACGAGACAAACGGTTCGAGCAAAGAAAATTCCGCCAAAGTACCACACAACTTCTTACAATTCGATGGATTTAAAGCTTCGGATCCGCGTTCCTCGCTGCCCACGCAGCAGTAAATATTTGCCATACCACGCAGTCAGGCGAGGAACTAAAGGATCGCTTTGGGGGGGAACTTCGAAGCTCTATAATATCATCAAAAATAGCCGTACGACTAAAGGAAAGCATTTGGAAACTAAGTGAACACACTAAGTGGACTTCAAAAACTGTTTCTCCAAACTTGGTATTTATTTCGTAACTACTATTTTACGAATCAGAACTGATTCGTGCGTGTCAAGTATTGTACGGGTGTGGAACGTGGAAAAGTCTGGAGCAAACATGGACTGCGTGGAAAAGGGGTTCAGGAAGAAGAATAAAATTTTTGGAGAAACGTTTTTCTCGAATCTAAAAAAGCAGAAAATCCTAAGTACGCGATAGTTTTCTGCGACGCGGGCCACCAGGTGGAACGGCGAACAGGAAAAGCCGCGAGATCGTTCGGGCGGAAGGGGGGGAGGCTCGCGCGAACGATTTCCCTTTCAATCGGTTCGCCCTTCGCCGTTCCCGCGATCAGAAAATTCCAGATCCGCAATTGCACAAATGTTAGACCGCTTTCCAGCGGTCGACGACACGAAAATCGATCGGCTCGATTCGGTGAAGAAACGCTCGCCGCGCCGGAAGGGAAAGGGCGAACTTCCCCTTCGGAACACGCTGCTCCGGGGTCCCGTTCAAACGATCCAGTAAATAGAGGGCATCCGTTGAACGATCAAAGCGTGGCCACGTAATTACGTTCCACCGTGTAGGCGTGTGCGTACACGGGGGAACGGTTCTTTCTGCTCGCGACGTACCGTTGAATTTTAAGTTTCACCTCGAGTCGCTGATTTGTGCGCTCTTACGATATCGCGCTGGAATGGCAAAATATTGCAACTATCGCCTTAGCGCGACTTGCTTCCCTCTAACTCTAGATAAGACCACGATTCGATCGGTACAAAGTGTATTTGCCAACTTAAAGTATCGGTTCGCTTGGTGCTTGCGAGCTTCCAACGAATCTACTTTTTATGACGCCTCTAAGACTTTTAATCGTGCATTTGACCCGAAAGAAACGGCGTTAATCTGCAAATCAGATTTTACCATTGTCGATGCTGGTCGTAGAACTGGCACCGTAATGGATCTTACGTAATCCGGTGCTGGTTATCGAGACTAAGCATCTGCATTATGTCGGGTCGCTGTACGGAGCACAGTATAACCCAACGGTTAGGTTGCAATGCGTAATGCACATCGTATGCACGTACCGATACCTTGGATGTATTGCACTATGCTAACAATAAGTAGCACGATTGCGTTTCTTTCAGGGTCGTGCGAGGAAAACGCTTCACGGCATCGTGCGTGAGAATCGTTTCCCTTTTTCTTTTTCCTCCGAGCACAAACAACGCTCCAGAGTTATAATTTATTAATAATTATTTGGCTTGTTTATTTCTTAACATTGTTTCTTCGATTCACAACTACTATCCAAAATTATTGTCTTCTGGAATTTACTTTAGAATTGGAACTTATTGCTTAGAATTCGCACCGGAGACGTTAAATTTTATAATCATCGGTGCGCAAACGTGACGAGACTGCGCAATCGTACGTAATAAATGACTCGCTGATTTCCCTTTTGATTGATCATTGCTAGATCCCTGGCGGGTGATATATACGACAGTAATTATTAAGCAAAGGACCGAGTCTGGCTAAATAGCGTTCGAAAGCACGAGAAACTGCTCGAAATAGATTTCGCAACGATGTCCTCGTCTATCGATATAGAAATTTATATCGAATTTTTGTTAAATATATTGAATATTGAGTCATACGCTTTGGTAAATATTAATAAATCCCTGAATACAGTGGGATTGACAAACACAGCACTCGTATTTCAAATAAGGCGACGATACTGGAGGGTTAAGTATAATTACACTGTGTAAACTAGACGGTCAGCAAACATCTCATCAAACACGAGTTCCTCAAACACTCTCAAACGGCAATGTTTCCTTACTAACGATAAGATTCGTATCTAGCGTGTAGTAATTCGTATCGAAGAAATCAAGACAGAAACCCAAGAATTTCTCCGACAATTAATCAAATAATCGCGGTTTAGTTCGACTTTAATCAGGAAACGTGATTTAATCGTGATTTAAAAACTCCAATCGCTCGAAATTTATCACATTATTATAGGAACGTTTCGACACAATATCGAAACCTCGATTTCGACTTTTCTTTATTTCAATAAATCACGTCAGGTGTTTTATTTTATTAAAGACTCGAATTTCATCCTTTATCGAACGAATCGTTTTTTAGAAAGGAGAAGGATTGGGAAGAAGTTTCACCTTCTAAGTTGTTTATTGAAATTCTTTAAAAATTAAAAAACCTACCTGAATAACAACTTATAGTACATGTTTTGCCTATGTTTAAATAAAGAAGTCTACAGTATTATTATATTTATTTATTGTACATTAAAACTTCATGATTTCGTGTGGAATAATTTGCTGCTGGAAAAGGCTTAACAGCTTGTTTCTAATATTAGGAACATCAACATTATGCAGAATAATACATCATACCCACTTTCTTCATCATCATCCTTGAGTTGTACTACAGCGTAAGTCTCTCATTTCTTTGGATTCACTGGTGTATTCGCTAACCCTGTATCCAGTCCCTTGAGTATTAAAAACAAGTTTTTTCTATTAGATGCACAATGAATAAACTGTTCAATAAACCATCTACACACCACACATCTATACACCAGAAACACACCATTCATTTCAGATTTTTTATTGTTAAAATGTCATGCTTTCCTTAATTTATCATAGCTA